GGCATTTCAAAGCAATGGGGGAAAGGTATTGGGATAACTGGTTTTCCTTAGCAGAATAAGAATTTAGGTGCCTACCTGAAATCATATGACAAAATAAATTCTAGATGGCTGAAATCCTTAACAGTTAAACACAGAGGGAAGAAAAAAAAAAACAACTATGAAATTTAAAAAAGAAAATATAGGTACAGTTTTGTACCATCTTTTGTGTGGGGAACATGTTACAGGTGAGGTTCTCCAAAAATCAGGCTCTAAAATGATGAGTGTGCAAGGGAGCTCTTCACGTTCAGTATTTATGGAGGAGGAGAAGGGATTAGGATTAAGGCAAGAAGTTGGGCTGTGACACAATAACAATAAGGCCTCGTTCCACCCCAGAGAGCTCATCAGGTGCTATGGGCTCAAGTTAAGGTGAGGGCATTGGGCCTTTATGGCCCCACACACTCCTGGAATTGGCTGTAGGCTGACCCCAGATGGGATGTGATGTGGGGTGGGGTCACTCTCCTAAACAGAGTAATTTCCAGGGAAGGCTGAGAGCTTCAGTCCTGAGAAGATCCCATTTGTCCAGTGCACCACCCACACTTGAGCAGCTTGGATCAATTTCTTCCTGTAAACTGAGAGAGCAAATCCTCTAAATCCCGTGAGTGTCTTTTCTTGCGGAAAACTTGTAAAGGGAAGATTAGTGGAATGACCTACAGCTTCCACCACTGCGGCTGGTCTTGAAGCCGTAACAGACACCCAGTGTCTCCTTCTTCTCTTTCCCATTTCAGATTCCCCATATCCTCACTAGCACCTCTGCAGGTCTGTAGAGCTTACTTGGTGAGGTGAGCCAGACCCTCATCTGAGAGTCTGAGCCTCTGATCACCATGTACTTCTCATGCCATGGCTCTTATACTTGTCATTTATCCTCAAAACTGAATAAGGGAACAGTAAGAGATGCTCGAGTGGAGCATCTTGCAATGCCAGAAAATAAGAAAGTATTCAAGGAAAAACCTACAGTGATGGGGTTGTGTCAAAGACTTGGAGCTGACTGAAAGAACTACCTATGGCCATACCTGGAACAACTGGAGAAAAAAAAGGTGGTACTGGATTATTTATTTTTTTTAAACATTTTATATATTTATTTGAGAGAGAGACCACGAGCAGAGGGGAAGCAGGGAGCCTGATGTGGCACTCGATCCCAGAACCCTGGGACCCTGACCTGAGCCAAAGGTAGACACTTAACTGATTGAACTACCCAGGCGACCAAGGTAGTATTGGATTATACCCTGAAGTTTAAAATAAACATCTATGAGCCCACGTTGATGTAAATAAAATTTTTAATAAGTAAATTGGGGAAAAGAGACAAATCTCCTTTATAGAAGAATTCTTAAACAATTTATGTAGGTATTCTACTCTAAAGAAGGTGGAACATAACTCCCTGTTCCTTATATACAGGTTGCCAATAGTGACTTCCTTCCAAGGAGTAGTATATGGAAAGGGGAAAAAAGAGTAGCTTTTCAGTGGAGAAAACTGACAAACAGTGCTTAAGTCATGTGATCAAGGTTAGCCTCAACTCTGATAGGTCATGTAGAAAGAATGGACCCTGGCTCTTCACCTCTGTGGTCTCTCTCTTCCAAACCCAAAAGTCCAATCTAATAATGAGCACAACATGAGACAAAATTGGGGGCAGCACTTTACAAAAGAGCCAACTGGTACCCCTCAAAACTGTCAATATGTCATCAAAACAAGAGAAGTCTGAGAAAACAGTCATAGCCCAGTGAAGCCTGTTGACTAAACATGATGTGGCATTCTAGATGGGATCTTGGAACCAAAAAAGGACATTAGGTAAAAATTTAGGAAATCTCAATAAAATGTGCCATACTAATGTGATATGTTGATAATGGGAAACTGAGTGGGGTGTATATGCGAACTTTCAGTACTATCTGCAATTTTTCTGTGAAGTTTCTATAAAACTAAAGCTATTCTAAAATTAGAAGTTTAATTATTTTTATGTATGTATGTATTTATTTATTTTTACTTATTTATTTGTCAGAGAGAGTGAGACAAGCAGGGGGAGTGGCAGGCAGAGGGAGAAGCTGACTCCCTGCTGAGCAAGAAGCCCAACGCGATCCCGACTACATCCCAGGACCCTGGGATCATGACCTGAGCTGAAGGCAGATGCTTAACCTACTGAGCCACCCAGGTGTCCCTATAAGATTTTATTTATTTATTTGACACAGAGAGACATAGTGAGAGAGGGAACACAAACAGGGGGAGTGGGAGAGGGAGAAGCAGGCTTCCCGCTGAGCAAGGAGCCCGATGCAGGGCTCGATCCCAGGACTCTGGCATCATGAACTGAGCCGAAGGCAGACGCCTAATGACTGAGCCACCCAGGCGCCCCTGTATTTTTTTTTTTAAGATTTTATTTTTAAGTAATCTCTACACCCGACGTGGGGCTCAGACTTACAACCGTGAGGTCAAGAGTCAGGTGCTCCACTGACTGAGCCAGCCAGGCACCCCTTTGTTTGTATTTAGTGGATATTAACCAACCCTCAGATAAAAATACACAATAGCCCCAAAGGTGAAAACAATATATTAATTTATTTCCAAGATAACAACATGGACCATCATTGCAAACAAGGACGGATTTAGTAGTTTCAGCCATCCCCATGGGCTAGCGGAAACCCACTTGCCCAAACACTACAGTCTTCCAATATTAAAGTACTTAAGACACAGAGATGACCAGCAACAGACATGTAAACATCTTCTATTCCAAAAGAGTTCTCGTTCTAGATGAGAAAGATCCAGTGTAAAACATTTCTTCTCGGGTGGGGTCATTTAAAGAAGTTGAAAAAAAAGATGATTCTTAGACTCCACCATTAGCTCTGGGTGTGTTCCCTACGCTTCAAGACTATACCACTCTGTACAGCTCCATCTTTTTCAGTAGCAGGGAAAAAAGGCTTTATTTCAAAGGCATTCCCTTAAATATGATTAACATTCAACAGGCACAGTCACAGAAAAAAAAGAATTAGTGTGAATTAAAGGTATCATTAGTTGCAATAACTTTTTTTTTGGTTAGAATAAATAAATATTAAGGAACTCGATGGATTTAGGAGTACAAAAGTAGACTTCACATTTTTCTGAGGTGACAGCACATTTTCTCATATTAACACTGAGACCATTCTTAAAACCTACCCTCTCTGGTATACTAAATATGGCTTTATTTCACCTTCTCTAAATATTCCATCTCAGGAAACTGAACTAAGGAGACCAGTAAGAACATCCCAATCCTCAGAGAACTCGTTTCCTCATGCTTATTAACAACTTCTCTAAGCCTCACTTACTTCATCTGCAAAATGGAGGTAATCATGTGAGCCTCCCAAGAGTGTTGTTGTAAGGTGTTAATGCAATGAGCCATAAGGGAGCTATTTGGATGCCTACAACACAGCAGGATTTAGCTTCTGTCTATTCCTTCCTTTCTCCCTTTGGAATGATCTCTGATTTAGACCTTGATTTCTTTTTTTTTTTTTTTACGATTTTATTTATTTATTTGAGAGAGAGAGAGAACGAGTGGGGGGGGCAGAGAGAAAGAGGAGAAGTGGACTCCACAGTGAGCAGGGAGCCCAACATGGGGCTCAATCTCAAGACTCCAGGATTATAACCTGAGCCGACGGCAGACACTTCACTGACTGAGCCACCCAGGCGCCCCTAGACCTCGACTTCTAATCACTCATATCCTTGGCCTGATATCCCAGTCTATAACTCTGCATATGAATGCATTAAAATACAAGCAATCCGTGAGATTCTCTAGAGCAGCCTTTCCAACGTTGGAGCTATTACCAAGAATTTTAGAGTGAAAAAGCTTCTCTCTTCATTTTCTCCTGGTGTCAAATGGGTCTGATATACAATAGGCACTCAAGAAATATTCACTGACTGCATGCTGAGTGAATGAATTGGATAAAGGATAAGGGGTAAGTGTAAGCACAAAGGATAAGAGACAGATGCTCACTCACAATGGAAAGCTCTTAAAAATCTAGGCACTCTTATCAGCACTAAGCATTGTAAAGCTACTCAGAAAATACTGAGAATAAGCTACTCAAAATACTCTGGAGTCCTTAAAGCCTTCATGGTGTAGAATTTGGACTCCATTTTGCAGGTAAGATCACTGTGGTGGGGGTGGAGGGTGGTGACCGAAGAGGAAAGTGATTCATTCTGAGGTTAGAGACCTGGGACAAGATTCATGCAATAGCACCTCTCTTCTAGAAATATCTTCATTCTGTGGGAACGTTTCAGTGTTGTCCATGGAAAGCGATGGCAGGGGGACTAGCGAACATTCTGACACACCACAAGAAATGTCCTGTTTCGCTGGGATTCCTTTGCTGAAGCAGGAGGTAGTGGCTGCTGTCAGAACGCATATCCTGCCTCCTGTCAATGACTTTACATTCTATACAGGACTTCAGACACAGTAAACTGGAAAGGTTAGCGTTGAAACCCGGGAACAAGATCTAGTTTTCCCTTCTGGTAGCTCAAGTTTTAAAAGAGATTGCTGAGTTGCCCAGAAAGTTGTTTCTATGCCTACATGCGGCTGAGCAAAGAGGAGTGGTGTCCACAGATGCGTGGCTATAGATCTATCATAGAAGATTCCTTCAAGGAAACACAATTCCTATTTTCCTAAACAGTATTATCTACAGGTGTCCTTTTCATGAGAACATTTCTCTATAATGAGTATCCGGTGCAAAGGTTTGACGTCAGTTCAGTTGATCACTGATCAGAGGGTTAGCATTACGTACAAGGAGCATCAGGAGGCCGCCATTGTGGCCAAAATGCCGGCATGGCCCTGTGCAGCCATCCCAATAGCAGAGTTCACAGTGTCCAGTGGATGGTTTCACACAGAATAACATGGCCAGGTCCTGCAGCCGTAACCTCGTTCTGGCAACTATTCACATAAGCAAGGCAAAGTTCTCTCACAAAGAAAGGCTCTTCTTCCCAGCTGCGAGTGCCTGTCGAGCCCATGTTACAGTGGATCAGAAATACCAGCTGGGCTGTATTACTGTTTCACTCTGATTTAGGGTTCTTTCTCGAAGCCTCAGTTCGAGGCATTCCACGGTGAGGGGGTACGTGGAAAGCTCAAACTTGTTAGCGAAGAGGCTGGGCGAATTAATCAACCACTTCAAGTCTCCGTTTCCATAGATACAGATGCCGTGGACATAGCGGCCTGCAGAGGAGAGAACAAGAGACAGTCAGAAAATGCTGGTTTTCCAAAGTTGGGGGTAGTGAGGCGGCCCAGCGTAGAGTCTTGCCTGCCTATGGAGTAGCTAAAAGCGTGCCGTGTGCTACAGGATTCGAATGAAACAGGATCGTGTAGGCCCAGCCCACAAGGAAGTTCAGCTCTTTATAGGAAGACAAAGGGAACACATAGGTACTTAAATAACAGGAGAGTGAAATAATACAAAGCGAGAACATAATAGGTGTCACAGGACAATTCGTGTATTATCAAGTGAGCGTGATGGATGAGAGAGGTTCCAGAAGTGTACAGATGGGACAGGTCTTGATGGGTTGCACTGCTCAGGCCTGTTCTGTGAGCCTCTCCAAGTGCCTACTTTTATCTCCACTTAGATGAGAATAAAGCTCGCTGATAGGACATGTCAAGACTCAACTCCTCACCCACCTCCAAGTCCCCCTGGGTACTTCTCCTCCTTTCTCTCACACCCCACATCCAATCTGTCAGCAACTCTGTCAGCTCAACCTTCAAAATACTAACAGAATTTGACCTCTTTCCACCGCCTCCACCACTACCATCCTGGCCCACACCACCTCCACCATCCTGTCTCACTTGTTACGGTAATAACTGCCTCCACCTTGGTCTGTTAGTATATTCTCAGCACAACAGCCAGAGCGATTGTTTTAAATGTTAAGCACATCATGATGTCTCCTCTACTCAAAACCCTCTAAGGGCTTCCCATCTCATGTGGAGGAAGAGCCAAAATGCTAGCAATGGCACTGAAAACTCCTCAGAGTCTGGCCTTTACCTCCCACCACTTGCTCATTCACTTTGGCCACACTGGCTTCCTCGATGGATCCGAGCACACCACGCATGCTGTACCTGAGAATCCACATTGCTCTTCCTCCCCCTGCCAGCCCCCTTCCACCAGACATCCTGGAGGCTCCCTCCCACACCACACCCCAGGTTATCTGCCTCAAGGCTGTGTTCTCAGTGAGGCCTCCTCTGACCTCCCTTTCCTCCTTCCCTGATTAATTTTCCTCTTGGCTCTCATTACCAACAGACAGATGTGTGTGTCAGTGCCACGGAGGCAAATATTTTGTTTATTGTATTTCTTTCCAGATAATTGTTTATTGTCTTTCTCCCAGGACTAGAACATAAGGTCCAGAAGAGCTGGAACTTGAGACCATTTTGTTCCCCTCTGTGTCTTCTGCATCTGGGACAGGACCTGGTAAATATTTGGAGTTACATTAATAGCTACTGAGTGAATGGATAGAGAAGGATGAGTGGAGAGTTAGTGGAAGCATAGAACTGGGGGGGGGGCATCAGGGGCACAGATGGTGGCTTCATTTGGGGACAATGCCTCCGGAAAAAATGTGCAAAGGTGTGAATTCTCTGCTAGAATCTGGAGTTTGGTTGGGAAGTGGGTTAGAAGAAAAATGGTAGGAAGTTGAACCTCTTTTCTAGAGGTTTCTTGGCATAGAGTAGAATGACTACGGTTGACTGACCTGAAACAAACTAAACGGCTGGGCCTTTTTTTTATCCCATAAATAGGGAAAGTCTTTGAAGATTTTTGAATGGAAGAATCAAATGGTGAAACGAATTTTAGCAAGATTAATTTTGCAGAGTTTTGCAGGGTACATTAGAAATCAATCATGAGGCCACACTAACAACTTAATGTAAACCAGAGAACTGGTTCAAAGTTAATGGTTGCCATGAGTGGGGAAGGAAGGGTATTAGAAACAGAACAGAGAAGGGCTGACAGGCCTTGTGATTAATTTAATGTGCCTGGGAGGAAGTACAACAGAGAGTGGAAACCATGGGGCACAGAAGCCAGAGTTGTGGGAAGTCAGAGAAGAACCCAGGGGAGGTGGTGAGAAGTGAATGCACAAGCAGCATGTCCATGCTTAAGAGAATGAAGTGAACAGGAGCGACCTTTTCATGTGCATGGAGTAGAGGCTACACAGACAACTTGGTCTTCCAGCTAGAGGCAATCAGTACACACTTGAGAGAGAAGAGAATCACTCCCCACCAGCACAGAGGGCAATGCAGGACGGCAAGAGAGCAAGGGGATCATTTAGGGGAACCTGCACAAAGCTGAGACCCCCAGACCCCGGCTGTGAGCATGGGTAGCTTTTCCTCTCAGAACAGGAAGGAACAATGAGTGTGTGTCCAAAGTACCCTGAGATGGAGGAATGGAGATGGCATGACAAACTGGTAAGGGGATTTCGATGGAATGTCTTGAAAGTTCTTCCTCAAGTTGAAATTGTTACCTTTTGAGGGTGGAAAGGCCATAAGATTAAGAGGTTAAAGCAAGCAGGAAAGATGAAAAGGACACCAGGAAGATAATGAGGTAAATAAAAGAATGAGTAGGCAGCCAGGAGGGTCTAGCCTCCCTAGCGGGGCTGAGTTTGGGACAGTTCCGTAAGAGTCTCCAGTGATGTTCTGCTTAGGGAAACACAAATGGCATAAAGCAGATGCTGGGAATCGTTATGCATAGGAATGGACCTTGTAGGGTCAAATGGCAGAGGAATCTGGAATGCTGAGTGAGAACAGCATGGGACAGCTGACCCGGTACACAGGCTGGACAGGGAGTCCTCAGAAGGAAGCTAGTAGAAGGAAGAAGCTGGGACAGTTGAAACCTTGGCAATCCCAATTTTAAAAAAGCAACCACACTTCAAACAACAACAACAACAACAACAACAACAACAACAACATATTTTAGGTGTGGGGATATAGCAATGAACAAATTGGTCAAAAATCCTAGCCCCCTTGGGAGCTTCTATTCTGCTCTGGGGAGAAAGACAGGAAGATAGTAAGTTGGTGAAGAAAACTAGGAGAGCGACAAAGAGACTGTAATCAAAGGTGGAAGCTCCAAGTTCAAGACCACAGAGCTAGGTGGTCCTGTGATTCTAACTGCTAACAGGGCCTATAGAGCGGGTACACAGCCATGGGTTTAGGACAAATCCTATTACTCACAACCAAGGGGAAAAGGTCCAGATTGGACTCCCGACTTGCTGGTTTGGCATGCACTGTTCTGCCTCCCCTGGGTTCTTTTTCTTTTCCCTATCTAGTGGTCTGGGGGACAAATTATTTTTCTGCTCTGTACCGTACAAGGCTTTCAGATGTTCACTGGCATAACAGGTGCTAAGAGAAGAAAAATGAGACATTTGTCTGAGAGGCTTGGGCTGCCCAAGCTTTGTACCCTAGGTAGGTCCCTGGCTCGGGGCTACTCTCATGGGCCCACCTGTCATGCGATAAGTAAAGATCCCTCTAAAAATGCAAACCTGACTAGCCTATACCTTCTCTATGGGGTAGGGCCTGGACACAGGTGAAGACAAGGAGACTGAGGGTAAGGCTCTACAGAGGGGCAGGGTGTTGGTGACTGATGCAGTGGGACAGAAGCTTCTGTGGTGGGGGCTGGAGCCACAGTGTAATGTCACATGAGTCCCTGCTGTGGAGGCTGAAGTTCTCCCGAGTTACAGCTGGAGAGGAGGTGGAGAAGCAGATCGGAGGATGACCACGGTGGTCCCAGAGGGAGGGTGACAGGGTTGTGGGAGCACTTTGGGGAAGTCAACACATCTCAAATATTGAGACCCCGACTGATGGTGATGGTCTCTTTTCTAAAGAAGACTTAGGGGCGCCTGGGTGGCTCAGTCGGTTAAGCGACTGCCTTCGGCTCAAGTCATGATCCTGGAGTCCCAGGATCGAGTCCCGCATCGGGCTCCCTGCTCGTCAGGGAGTCTGCTTCTCCCTCTGACCCTCCCCCCTCTTATGTGCTCCCTCTCTCTCTCTCATTCTCTCTCTCTCAAATAAATAAATAAAATCTTAAAAATAAATAAATAAATAAAATAAAGAAGACTTAGGACATCCAAAAGCAAAGCAACCTCCTCTCCACCTTCCTCCTTCTACCAGGAGGGCAGGCCATGACGAAGTGCAGGCAGGTGGCACGGGCTGTCCTCTGGGGACAATATGTTGGCTGATTAAGGTAAAGACATGAATACGTTGAAGAGCAGACTGTACAGTGACACGAGTATGTTGCCATCTGCAGCAGAAGGGGATGCTCAGAAAGACAGGAGAAGGGGGTGCAGTGTAATGGAGAGCTGCAAAGAGGCACCCATTTGGAGGTTTTCCTCTGAAATATCGTCAATGTGATGGACCAGAGAGGGAAGCCAGAAACTGCAGGTGGACGGACGAGTGGAGGAGGCAAAGCTTTGTCACTACAGGGAACAAAGGTGAAACCCTCACACTTGCTCTTTCACTTAACCACTTGCCCACCTCCTGTTATGGGCTGAATTGTCCCCCTCCCCAAATTCATATGTTGAAGTCCTAGCCCCCCATACCTCAGACTGTGACCATATTGGAGACAGAGCTATTCAAGTTAAAATGAGGTCATACAGGATGGGCCCTAATCCAGTCTGAGTGGTGTGGGTATAAAAAGAGGAGATGAGAACTCAGACGCACACAGAAGGAAGACCACATGAGGCCACGGGAAGAAGGTGGCCATCTGTGAACCTCTCAGGAGAAACCAAATCTGTAGCCACCTTGCTCTCCAACTTCTAGCCTACAGGAGTGTGAGGAAATAAATTTATGTTGTTGAAGTCACCCAGTCTCTCGTACTTGGTTATGTTAGCCCTAGTGCATGAATACCGTGCTCACTAGGTGCCAGGCAAGAATCTCAATGGGCTGTAGACCAGGGCTGATGAAAGCCCTTCTTTATAAAGTTCTATAGAAATGAAAACTACTGGGGGCCTGGGTGGCTCAGTCGGTTAAGCGTCTGCCTTCGGCTCAGGTCATGATCCCAGGGTCCTGGGATCGAGTCCCACATCGGGCTCCCTGCTCCGCGGGGAGTCTGCTTCTCCCTCTGCCTCTGCGCCCCACCCGTTCATGCAGGAGCACTCTCTCAGATACAGAAAGAAAGAAACTATCTCATTCTTGTCCGTCTGGAGGAGAAATATCTTGTTAGTGTTGCCTGCCATCATGCCAGAGCGGCAGCAAATACCTCTAAGCCAGCTGGAAGCTTGCGTGCAGGGTGGGGGGGTGGAGGGGGGACAGGCTGGTGTGAGGGGCAGGGGTGGAGGTCCAGCTTGCTCCGTGGTGAGAACAGGACATCACGTCTCATCCTGACCACTTTCCCCTCCTAACCACTGCATTCCCAAAAGGAACAGAAAGAGGAATAAGTAAGAAGAAAGCAGAAACTAGCAAGAAAGTATCATCATAAGTTGAGCCCACCTCTACACCCACTTGGTAATCAAGAGTTGGAGAACATCAGTGAGATAACTTCATGTCATGTCGTTTCTCTTCTCTTTTTTCTTTTTCTTTCTTTCTTTCTCTCTCTTTTCCTTCCTTCCTTTCTTTTTTAGCAGGCGCCATGTCCAGCGTGGGGCCCAGTGTTGGGCTTGAACTCATGACCAAGAGCTGAGCTAGGATCAAGAGTCATATGCTTAACCAACTGAGCCACCCAGGCACCCCCGCCTCCTAAATTTACCATGTCTTGAAGACTCTAGCTACTCTAAGAACTCACAGATGGTTCTAAATATACCAGCAGTTCTCTCCATAAGAACCCCTGTATTTCACGACCTCCATGCCAACACCAACAAGCACTGTGGCCTCAAAGTGTGGAATGAATGGCTCACCATGGCAGCCTCCGTGTTTATCTTCCATGTCAATCCACTTTATAGCCCTGAGGTTACCAGTCCACGATGCGTTTGGCATGGAGCCAGGGACACCTGCAATGTTGATAAAGAAGAAAAGCAGAAATGAGAACCAAGAAAGAAGGGTGTCATTTCATCAATGAAGCCTCCACGTTATGCTTATATTTTTGGTAGATTATCTTTCACGTTAGATTTTCCATTGTTGGTGTGCAAAACCTCAAAAGCTTATGGTGTGAATAGTTGATGGTTATGAACCCTGCCTTGCCACCAGTAAAAAAATATATATGCATAATTTTTTTGGTCATAATGTGTGCCCAAGCCTGCAAAATAGAGTTTAAGAGATATCATAGCATGAAATCATAATGCACATGGAAAAGTTGGGAGATTTGAGGTTATCTCTCAATGGCCTTCAACTGAATTTGCTTTCAATCCTAATATTACAGCTTTTCAAGACTTCAGATGACTTGTATGTTAAAATGAAGCTCAGAAAACAGGCTACTCTATGTGCTAAGCACTAATAAGTGAAGTTGCAATATTCAGCATACACAAGGGAAATACCTTGTTCACTACTTATAAACTCAAACAAATCCCTTAACACTCTATCCTTTTTTAAATTATTTTTTTATTTTTTATAAGCAATCTCTATACCCAACATGGGGCTCGAACTTATGATCCCAAGATCAAGAGTCCCACACTCCACTGACTGAGCCAGTCAGGACCCCCGACACACTATCCTTTTTATTTGTTAGAGTGCTTCTTGAGCATTTGGTGTTGCCAAGCATTGAGCTGGGCCCTGGGGAGAGAGAGAGAGAAACACGATGATTCTCCAACACCCAGTGAGGATAAACTGTTGACCCCAAGCAGTAAGTTTGATCTTTGAGTTTCTCGGAGGAAGACTGGCCCGCACTGACCCACCCATCTTCTCTATTTCTTTCAGCTGTTCTTTGGCCCAGGGTTTAGTGGCTGATCCATTAACTAATTAGTTATCTAATTCACCTTTGAAATGTAAAGAGCCTTTAAAAAGGGGAGGAGGGCTTTAGGTCGCCACTAAGCCAGGGCTTTTCCACCTTGGCATTATTGACTGTTTATTTATTTTTGCATATTTTAAATATTTATTTATATACATTTATATTTTTATTTAAAAATTTATTTTATTTTATTTTATTTACATTCAATTAATTAACATATAGGGCATTCTTGACACTTTAGACTGGATAATTCCTTGTGGTAGGGCCTGTCCTGTTGTCGTTGATATTTAGCAGCATGCTTGGACTCCACCTACCAGATGCCAGTAGTACAGAGCCCTCAGCTGTGACAATCAAAAACATCTTCAGGTGTGGCCAAATGTCCCCAGGAGGGAGGGTGGTTGGGCAAAACTGCCCCATTTGAGAAACGCTGTGCTAAACTATTTTTTTTTTAAGATTTATTTATTTTAGAGAGAGAGAACAAGAGAAAGACAGAGCATGGGCGGGAAGGGTAGAGGGAGAGGGAGGGAGAATCTCAAGCAGACTCCCTGCTGAGCGCAGACCCTGATGTAGGGATTGATCCCAGGACCCTGAGATCATGACCTGAGCCAAAATCCAAGAGTCAGACATTCAACCAACCCGAGCCACCCAGACGCCCCTGTGCTAAACCATTTCAAATAACCCTCTCCATCTCAATAAATTTTGGATAAGTCAGAGATTAAAGCGTCCATCTAATCCTATAGAGTAGAGTAGTTTTATCCCAAGATTTCCATTACTGGAAAGTAGGTATATGGGAATCAACGGTAAATGCAACAATAGAAGAAATACTTTGTTTTATAAGCGCTCCAACAATTTTCACCAGTGAGCAATGCAATCTGAACATTATTCTGATATAATGGCACCACGCTCATGACATCTGTACCCAGACTGTAATAGTCCTTTCTCAGAAGATCCAGTAGGCAGAATAACGCCCCTCCCGATGACATATATTCAAAGAAGTCTGGATTCTAATCTCTGGAACCTGAAATTAGGTTACAGGGCTAAATGGAATTCAGTTTGCTAATCAACTAACCTTAAAAGAGGGAAATTATCCTTAATTATCCAGGCCGGACCAATGCAATCACAAGGGTCTTTAACAGTGGAAGAGGGAGGTGATGAGCTGGTCTTTTTTTTTTTTTTTTTTTTTTACCGTTTGAAGGTAGAGGAAGGGGCTAAGGAACACGGGTGACCATTAGAAAAGGCCCAGACCCTACAGGAAGGAACGGAGTCCAGCCAACGCTTTGGTTTTAGTCTGGTGAGACCCGTGTCAGACTTCTGTCCTACAGAATTGTAAGATAATACATTTATGTTGTTTAAGCTGCTAAGTCTGTGGTAGTTACAATGGCAAATAAAAAACTAATATACATACTAATGAGAAAAAAAATTACCCAGGATGATAGATATTTTTTAATAAGAAAAAAAGAAAACTGCACAAGACCAATACTTTTCAAAAAGTTTAACTGGATTAGGCACATAAACATGTTTCCTCTTTAAGAACATTAATAAAAATGTGCATTTTCAGAAGAAAAAAGCTCTGTTCTTTTGCCCTGATGTCACATGATAATTATATGATGATCTAAATCAAGAATTGTACCAAGGTCTCCCAACTAAAATTAAATTTTGCACAGCCTTTCCTGTAAATGGCATGAATCCTTACCCCTAAGGCTTGCTGTAAGACAGATTCCTTTTTTCTTCTAACTGCCAAACTCGAAAAGTTTGCTTATAAATATTGAGTAGTCCCCAAGAAAAATACCATCTATTAAGCAATATTTCTTCCTATTGCTTTGATTTGCATTTATTACTTTAAAAATTACTTTAGCGCTTGCTTTCCCAAGAGAAGCTTCTTTATTTTGTTCTTAGTACACATTTTAAAAGAATTTAGAATAAAACTTGCCTTGGTTAAGTTGGGGGTGGGGGGAGGGCAGTCCAGAAAACAAAGAGATAATTTGGTATATTTACTTGTGTCAACAAGATCAGCTGACATGGATGTAATTTTTACAAGTCTATTTTGATGAAAAGCTATAGCAGAAGAGTGTGAAGAACATATCGCCATAACAAAATGTCCCTACCCTCCTTTACATGAGTACATTTTTTAAAGGACAAGATATTTTTTTTCTCTTTCATTCTGCACCAGAATCAGCACGTTCACAAGATCCCCAGAGCATCCCGGCATGTGATCAAGTCTGAGAAGCTCTGGGCTGTAACCAGCATTGCAAAGAGGACATAGCTTCTGTCTCCTCTCTCCTTGAAGTCCCTCCCTCAGCCTTCAGCAGGTTTCGGGTTACCTTTTCTTTCTCCTTTCCCTACATTTCGCCCTGATGAAGAAATCTGGTACTATGTACCTTCCATCCTTTGGTTAATTTTACAAACCTGTCCGCACAGCAAGGAATACAGGCATTTCAATAGACCTCTCAAATCACTTTCCTGAAGACCATCAGCCCACCTGGTGTGGGGAAAAGCCGCGTTGAGCAGAAGACCAGTCCTCAGGGTGCCTTGAACTCACAGCACTGGGCCCACGGGGGGGATTCTCAGTCAATGTTAAAGGAGTGAATGGGTGTGGCGTGCAAGGGTTGCCCAGCAACTCAGTCTTCAGGGGTGATGGCATGACCACTTAGATCGTGTGTGGCTAAGACAGTCTTGCTTGCCACCTTGGTGTCTGTCTTCAAGTACAGGTCACTGTATTTGAAGGTGTAATCATACTCTACCTCTCAGTATGAAAAGTATTTATTCTCCTCTTAGCCAAGGCCAACCTGTTTCAGTTTGCCCTACAGCAATTACTTAAGCGGCCATCAATCACCTATTTGCCATATCGGTCCTGCCTGGTACAACTAGCTTTGGGAGGTGATAAAACCCTCAACGAGACTTCTGGAGACAGCTCAAATATCAACTCAATGTGAATACTTTGCAGGCATCACTTGATTATTATTGTGAGAGGATAATGGCAAGCAAGAGATTGAATGGTCTAAATGTACCGTGTGCCCACTATGCAGTAATATAATGTGGCTTGGGTTAAAACACATATGGAGACCCCAAAGCTACTGATCCCATCCCAACCTGGATGCCCCTTCTACTTCCTAAAAGTATCTACTAAGCATAATTTTCTCCCAGAGATGGACCTGCGGCAGACGCCACCCTCACCCCACCTCACCCCCATGCCCCCGTGGAACACATTGGCCTTTCCCCTGGGACTGGGGAACTTAGTTCTTACCCTAGCTTTGTCACTAACCAGCTGTGTATCCTGGAACCATCATTTAAGGCCACACAGACTCACCTTTGAAATGAAGTGTAGAACAGATCAGCGGTTTTTCAACCTTTTAGACTGCAATCCACAGAAAAACAATTCATGCCATTGTAGGAGCACACACACACATAAAGCCAACAAAAGTTTTACAAACTCCTTAGGCTTACTACATATGATACACTTGTTTATTTTGTGTTATTTTCTCATATTAAAAATTCTGGTCAGGGCGCCTGGGTGGCTCAGTTGGTTAGGCGACTGCCTTCGGCTCAGGTCATGGTCCTGGAGTCCCAGGATCGAGTCCCACATCAGGCTCCCTGCTCGGCGGGGAGTCTGCTTCTCCCTCTGACCCTCCTCCCTCTCATGCTCTCTGTCTCTCATTCTCTCTCTCGCAAAAAAAAAAAAAAAATTCTGGTCAAAGCCTACTAAAGTGATTTCTGGATCCACTCGTGGGAAAGAGTGCTCTTTTAAAAATACTGGACTGGATGACTGTTTTTTGTATTGCTGTTATGATTATGATTATTCTTACTTGTCAGGATTCTAGGAGGGTAGTTATGGGGTATATGGATAAAGTCTACCCTCAATTCACAGTGTCTTAGGAAGGGTCTCTTTTGCATTATTTCTAGGATGGGGCAAAAAGAAGACACTAATATTATTGGAAAAACTATTTTAAACTATAAACTCCAATTCTCTCATTTGCTCTTCATAGGCTTATTTAAACAAAAGATTTGGATAAGTTTACAGAGTAACCAAGAATGTTTTTCTTGGAGCGTCACCATTATTAGTCAAATAACTGCATTTGTTGAATTAATGAATATGGTTCTTTGAAATGC